CCTCCACTGCTTTCGTGGTGAAAGTAATGGTAACTGTATTGACCATATCTTCTTTGTTGATGTAATTTAGATGCTTTATATTCGGAAGAATCACTTTTAAAGTATTTATATTTGGCTATAAAAATAGTCAATTTTTAATAATTTTGGCACAAAATTAATGACAAGAGGTATACCTGTACTGGAATACCGGTTGATATGGCATCTATGGGATCTGTTGGCTGAGGATGAGTCCATGGGGCCGATTCCGAGCCATGGCTTGGATCAGATTTAGTGGTTTGTATAAGATTTTCTTCTACGGGTTGCGTTTGATTGGCTTCGGGAGATTCACTGGCATTCATTAGTTGACTCAAATGTGTGGTCACTTCTGGTTCAATCATTTTGGGGGTGGTTTGCGGTGATTGTGTTACGACTACTGTCGTCTGTTTTGGTTCAGTTTCTTCTCTAAAAATAGTTGTTTGTATGGATTCTGTGCTTACTTTAGGTTCTGGTGAATGAGTTGTAGAACTCGTTTCTATAGGCCTAACAGTTTCACTCGATTGGGTTACTGTTTGTGATTCCGTGGGTTTTGTTTCTATGGCCTGTGAAGTCATTTCTTCGGTAATATTGGCAAACAGTGACAACAAATCTGGTAGTGTTTTACTTTCTGATTCACTTGAATGGCCTGTTGTGGTCTCGGGTGCCGAAGAACTTTGCAAATCAGATGTATTAAGATATGGATATTCTGTTGCGATGTCGTGATGCGAGCTATTGTGCAATTGTGTGGACTCGTTGTCGCTTTGCATAGTTATCGTAGGAATATATAATTGATCTGAATTTGATTGACTTGTAGTTATAAGAGTTGTCTTATTTGGCACTTCTGTGGTTTGTTGTGTTGGAGAAGGGGTTGTAGTAGTAGTAGAAGAAGAAGGAGATGTTTCTCTGGATATTGCACTTGTAGTTACTGGTGTTGTAGTGCTTGAGCTGACACTTGCTTGTGTTGTCTGTATTTCATCTGAGGATTTAGTTGTTATTTGGCCACTAGTCGTAGTAGTAATCGGTGTGACAGTAGTAGTGATAATCTTAACTACAGTATCACTTGGATTGCTTGCGATGGTATGCGCTTCGGATGACGTATCGATTGTGTATTCAGTTGTCTCGTGAGATGTTTTTTCTTTAGTAGATGTTTGAGAATTTATTAACTCCTCGTTTGCATCAAAGCTAATAGTTTTCGGTGTCTTTGATGAGACATCCACTGGATTTGGGCTAATGTTTGTGTTAAACAACTCATTGACAGAGAAAGCAGTGGTTTGCGGATCATTTGATTTATTGTTAGCGTCTGTTGCGCTGGAACTCAAACTTCCGGATTCTGGGCTTTCAGTCACTACTTTATGATCATCTATTTTGGTCGTCTCAGCCATCGATGACTGAGTCGTAATGTCTTTACCTCCCTGTGAGCTCTCAGGAGGAATTGTTATCAGTTCCGGTAA